GGCGGGTAGGCCCCGCCCGGACCGCGCCTTCCAGCCGGGGCCCGGGCCTGCCCCGTCCTTGTGCTGGACCGCCTCTCGGTCGGTGTGCACGACACTCCTGCACGCGGCGGGAGCGGAGTGCGGTGCTGCTGCGGCCTTTAGGGACGTGCCACTGTGTCCTGGCGAGGAGCGTTTGGTCAGAAGTGGGCGTCGCTGTTCTGCGCTTGGTGCGGTCCCTTCATGGGCTGAGGTCTCACAGGCGTGCAGGGGTGCCCTGGCCGCAGGGTGCGGGGACGCGCTTCGGGTGCTCCGGGTCCTTTGACATCAGTCAGGAGGGAAGGTAGCCCTGGTCCCGCGCACACGTCGTGGGTGTTTTCCTAGCCATTTGCACACTCTTAAAAAAAAAGCTTCCTAGAGATGAAAGAACTTCCCTGAAGGAATGGTTTTTACTTTGAAGATGCTTTACTTTTAAGGAAATAACGGGATGGGGTTCGAGGTGTTAAGTTACTTTTAGGCTAATTATCAGATGAGAATTGAGAATAAACATCTGCTTGACGTCCTTTTAAAATTTCAGGCAGCATTTTCACTGGCCAAGCTTCTGGAAGCCCCCGCAGGGCTGGCCCAAGTGGAAGAGCTGGCTGCCCCGCGCCTGGCCGGACCTGGAGGAAGGCTGAGTCTGGGAAGCGCAGCCGCTGACGGGCTGCCAGCCGTCCACACCCTGCACTCGCAGCGATGTCCGCTCGGCCGCAGGTGTGGGCTCATCCCTCCAGCCGTTCCGTGAACTCGGAGTGAGATTTACTTTTCTCGACCTTTGTGCGGTCCTGCGCAGAAGGGAGCATCGCTAGCAGAGTCAGCGGTGCCGCGGCGCGGCCAGCAGCCAACCGTGGGGACGGCGATTCTGTTCCGCACGAAGATGCAGAGACGGCGGAGTTCGAAGTCGCGCTTCATCTCGGGGACCAAGGAAGATGGCGGTAAGGGAGGTCGCCCGACTGGTAGACCCAGCCCCACGGGCCCAGTTAGAGCCCAGGCTGGTGTCTCACTCCCGCCTAAACCAGCACTCACAGCACGACTCGGTGTTCGGGGTAAAGGAGTTGACAAATGTGTAAAAGCCATTCTTTCACATTTTTAGCATGAAGACTAATAGTCTATAAAAAGTATGAATTAGAACTTGACTGAAGTAAAGCTCGTATGTTTTAGCTTTAATGATCATTTTTAGAAATACGTGATGCATGTCTTTTGTCTGTGACGTGTCTGCGTTTGTGTGTGCGTCCCGAGACAGGGAACGGAGACAGCACCCCCACACCCCGTGGGGAGTGGCCACGTTCTGCTTCCAGAGAGTCCGGGATTTGGGCACTTGTGCCTGGCACGTTCTTTTAAGCCGCTGGCTCCAGGACTCTAACTTTGGGGTCACGGAGCAGGCCTCACGGTGCTTTTTAAAAAAGCCCTGAGCACGTGAGAGTCTGGAAAGGATGACGCTTCCCGCTTGTTGCTGCGGTTAGCTGCATTTACAGTAAGTGGCTCTTACGTTCGATTCTTGTGCGTGCCTGATTGCTGGCTTGAGCCTCCTCAGACCCGTGGGTGTGTGCTGTTACTGCGGAGCTTTGCAGGTGGTTAACGGAAGCCTCGTAGACGCCGCTGTCTCCACTGCATCTCGTTTAAACGTCACTCCGCGCCGTCTGACCTCGGTGATGGCTCTCCTTCACGTGTGCTGTCAGGTTCTTTCTGGTGGTTGAGTCGCGTGTCAGTGTCAGCTAATTTCCTGCTACACGTGACTTCTGGACATTGTTCAGATGTTCATTCTGCGTAGAAATGGCGATACGTGTAGAGCCATGTTCTAAAGCCCCACAACGGGGCTGTGAAAGGGGACAGATGGACGGGCAAGGAATAGTCATGTTAGCATGGTAGGTCATAGTCTTGGTTAGTTTTCTTTTTAGAGATTTTTTTGCTATAGGGCACGAGCGCTCGCCAGAGAGAGAGAGAGAGAGGTGGAGAGATAGAAAGCAAGAAATCACCCCGCAGGGGTGATGGCGATGCCGCAACTCCTTCTTCATTCTCTGCCCAGGATCTAGGCCACCTGTGCGTGTGCACCTGGCGTGACTTTGAAGCCACCTGGTCTGGAACTCGAACTGCTGTCAGCCATGTTGGGAGTCCAGCAACGTAACCGCTGTGCTATCTGCTGGTCCCATCTTGGTTAGTTTTTTAAAGATCATGTGTATGTTGTGATTTCTATACCAAAGAGATGCATCCTTCAGTGTTAGAAAAATATTTTTCTTGTATATCCTGAAAATTGCTATTTTCAAAATTTATAAAAATAAACTCGTTAAAAGTGAACTGGTTTGTCTTTATTGTAATGATGGAATGTCCCTGAAGAGAGGTTTTCAATTTTAATCATAACAGTCTTCTTCCAAAACAGCTCTTTCTGAGTTTTGTTATAGCAAATGCCATAATGACCCTGTCCTTACATCCCTGTAAAATTAGGAGTTTCTTTTTTTAAAGAATTACTTTACTTTTTTTTAAATTTGATCAGAGAGGGGCAGAGAGTGTGTGAGAGAGAGAGAGATCTGGGACTTGAACTGCGGTCAGCCACGTGGAAGGCCAGCACCCTTAACCACCACACTACCTGCCGGTCCTCAAGTTCAGGGCTTTCTAACGCTCAGGTGTCTGATCCAACTGAAAGCTGCTGGCCTGTGTGTGATTGTGGGATCTGGTCTTCCGCACTCGGGCATTACTTTAACTTTCCTCTGAGTTCCGGAGTCCCGTATGCTCCACCAGGTCCGCGGTGCCTCTGCAGGTCTCGAGCTCCCCTTGACCCAGAATCCAGATCATGCCACCCCAAATACGCAATTTAGTAACTGCTTGTCGCGAGCTGAAGGCCCTCAAGAGATGGCGGCTGCAGGGAGGCCGTCAGAGTCACCTTTCCTACCTGTAGCAAGATGTGCGTGCCTCTGGGATGTGTGCTTGCCTGTACCAAGGTGAGAGGTAGCCATTTATCTGTCTGTTCATACGTGCACACATGCATGCACCTGCATGCATACGTGCAGGCATGCACACACGCGTACACAGCGTCTCTGCCACCGCGCAGCCTCGGCCCCCAGCTGCTGTGGTTATGGTGTCCACTACCTTGCCTGGTCTTGGACCAGAGTCGCAGCAGCTCCACGTGGTCCCTGCCACAGAACGCGTTGTCTTCGCAGCAGGTGCCACCAGAGGGCGGAGCAAGCCTCGCCCTGTCAGTTTGGTCCCACTGCCTACCCCCCCATGTGCCCGTGTTGGGGATACCTGTTTCCCTCTCGTGGGAGACAATTTCAAAATGTGCTTTCAGGACTTCGGAGCATGAAGTACATGCCAGGCACTTTGGTAGGCACTTTAGACTAGCAGCGTGGTCAGGAAGGAGGCCCTGCTGTGTCGGGACAGGACACGGGCTGAGCCCAAGCAGCTTACCCTGGGTCTTGGGCACCGAGTCGGCAGCCCGGAGGCCCCACAGCTGGCTCACACACAGGCACACTGCTCGCTCACTTGCTCATGAAGCAAAGAAACCTTAAGTAACAAAACCTGGGGACCAGTAGTTAGCGTAATGGCTATATCGCTGAACTCTCATGTAGTCGACCGTGGTTCGAGTCCCGGACCCGGTGGCTTAAGCTCACACCAGGCGCGTGGGTAAAATTAAAATGAATCTAAGAAGTTACAATAAAATATTAGCTTGTATTGTAGTTCAATTAAACCGGGGCTCTGGGCTGTTTTTAAGCACTTCATATGGAAGACAACACGTACCGTTGGACGGGAGGACGGTGAGGCCAGGCCTCTCCGACCTGCCTTCTCACAAGGCAGGCATGACAGCCAGCAGGCGGCCGGGCACCGGTGAGCATATGCTGCAGATGTGCGCTGTGGTCTTCAACCCCAGGAGAACCACCAGTGACTGTCTTACAGGCTAGGGATCGCAGACGGGGCTTGGGGACACGTCCCAGGTCACACAGCTACGATGAGGCCGACGTGGGGGATTTGAACCCCTGTGGGTGGGACTCAGTCCGTGCACTCAGGCAGAGAGCTGGCCTGTCTCCCAGCACACACTGTCAGTGGGGAGGGGGGTTTACATTTGACTGAGGGCTTGGCAGCCATGGTCACCATCGCTGCACTCCCGGCCCCGTCTCATGGCTCCCGGGGGAACAGCACCAAAGAAACCTTAAGTAACAAAACCTGGGGACCAGTAGTTAGCGTAATGGCTATATCGCTGAACTCTCATGTAGTCGACCGTGGTTCGAGTCCCGGACCCGGTGGCTTAAGCTCACACCAGGCGCGTGGGTAAAATTAAAATGAATCTAAGAAGTTACAATAAAATATTAGCTTGTATTGTAGTTCAATTAAACCGGGGCTCTGGGCTGTTTTTAAGCACTTCATATGGAAGACAACACGTACCGTTGGACGGGAGGACGGTGAGGCCAGGCCTCTCCGACCTGCCTTCTCACAAGGCAGACATGACAGCCAGCAGGCGGCCGGGCACCGGTGAGCATATGCTGCAGATGTGCGCTGTGGTCTTCAACCCCAGGAGAACCACCAGTGACTGTCTTACAGGCTAGGGATCGCAGACGGGGCTTGGGGACACGTCCCAGGTCACACAGCTACGATGAGGCCGACGTGGGGGATTTGAACCCCTGTGGGTGGGACTCAGTCCGTGCACTCAGGCAGAGAGCTGGCCTGTCTCCCAGCACACACTGTCAGTGGGGAGGGGGGTTTACATTTGACTGAGGGCTTGGCAGCCATGGTCACCATCGCTGCACTCCCGGCCCCGTCTCATGGCTCCTGGGTAAACAGCGCTTCGGCGTCTCCTTTGCTTACAGAATCCGCAGCCAGAGCAGGCGGCAGCAGGGACCCCCCCAGCTGACGTGGCTTAGGGCCTCTGTTTCGGGGAGCTGTACCCTCAAAGAGCGTTAGTCGTGCTAAACCCCCGCTGATAAGCTGGACCCTCGTCTGAGCGACTCTGGCATTGCCCCAAACCCAGAAAGTCCACACGTGTGTGCTTGCAGGTGTATGTCCGCATGTGTGTTAGCCCGTGTTCTCAGCGGCGGCCATCTTTGCTCTGAGGCTGGGTTCTCTGGAGGAATGAAAGTGCTTGGCAGCTGGGTGAGTGGGTGACACTCGGGCACCGTTCATTTGGAGGACAGCTGACTTCCCTCCTTCAGCAACGAGCCGGCCTTTGGACGTGTCCCAGCGGTGGCCTTTGCTTTCAATTCGGGTGTCGGGAGCTCCTCTCTTCCCCCACAAAGTTTCTGCCCCTCTTTGTGGGTGCAGGGGACAGGGTGGCCCCAGGACTGTCACTTCCTGGTGGGCCCCTGCGGTGCAGCAGGCAGCCTGGGCTGGGTCCGAGGAGCACCTGCAGGGCGATGCTCCAAGGCAGCCCCCAGACGTCAGCCACGTGAACAGCCCAGCGAGACCCTGCTCCCTCCCAGGGTGGGAAGTCTGCTTCTGCCTTCCACACCCAGTGTGTCTCCAGCTCCGGAGGGCAGCCGCTCCGCCGAGGCACCCCCGCAGTGCTGCCCTCTGCTGTTGCCTAGACTTTAGAGAAGGCGGTGCACAGCACTCCGGCCAGGATGGTGCAGAACGCCAGGCCCAGCAGGACGTGGTTCTGCAGGCCCTGCAGGGTGAAGAGAACGCATGTGGGAGGCCGGCCAGAGCACTGGCCCAGGCCCCGCCGGCCTGGGACCCGACTGCGGCCGCTGCCCCGCCTGTGGGCTTTTCTGCCACCCCTCCTGGCCAGCCTCGGGTTCTCTGGGCAAGCCTGGAGCTCACCGGGCAGGAAATACACCCACACGCTGGGGGCAGTGAGCTGGCGGGCAGCCGTTGCAGTCAGCCGTGTCATAGGAGAGGCAGGGCTGAGCACGGAATCAGACATGGCTGTCCTGTGGGCCCTGCACAGCCCTCCTGCCCTCACCCCCTAGAGGTCCGGGGTCTGCCTCTACTGGAAGAATGCAGAGATCGGAGGGGAGTTGGGGTCGGAACTGGGACAGGACAGAGCAGTGTCATTGGGGACCTGGGCTGCCCGACTCCGTCTCAGCAGGAGTAAAGCCAGTTAATAGGAACCGGACTCCCAGAGCACGCGTCTCTCTGTTCTTCAAGTAGAGGAAGAACTGGGCCAGACTGGATTCATCTGCCTTTTTTTTTTTTTTTAAAGAGATTTTTGCTATAGGGTGATGGGCTCACCAGAGGCAGAAAGTGAGAAATCACCCCCCCAGGGGCGATGGCCACCCTGCAATCCCTTCTCCTCCTTTGTCCTTTCAAATCTTGGGCACGCATGTACATGCACACGCGCCCGGTGTGAGTTTAAGCCACCGGGTCCAGTGCGGCTTGAACTGCAGTCGACCACGTGGGGGTCCAGTGACGTCAACATCACGCCATGTGCTGGTCCCTGACCTGCTGGCTGACGGTGGGCTCTGTGAGCCAGGGCCGGGCCAGCGGACTGACTGTGCGCAGGCTCTTCTAGAGGTCACGCTGACCACGACACCCAAGGCAGCCGTGCCAAGTACAGAGCAGCTGATTTCTACATGTGTGTGCAGGCACACGCACACACACACACGCACACACTCTGCAGCAGGCTGCCCTTCGCCTAAGCTGGGTGCCAGCACCAGGGCAGCAGGGGCTCCACAAGCCCTCGCTCAAGGGGCACACACGGCTGGCGATTTCCACACGTACTCTGGGTTAGAGGTGGGTGCAGCTCCATGACGACACGGGCTCTCCTCGCGCACACTGCACCACGGGGCCACGTGAGCCTCCGCCAGCTGGGTCTCAGTGCCCCCACGGGCGGGGCTGTTTTCTCCTTCCAGGCTAAGGATCTAGTCTCCAGGAGGGAGATGGATCGCGTCCGGGCGACAGCCATGTCTCCCGTCAACAGGGAATGTCACCTTGGAAAGAGCAGGCCACCTCTCCTCCCCAGCTCCGCTTCCGAGGCGGCTCCTGCGAGGACGGCCCCTCCTGCTCTTCCCGGGAGTAGCTGCCCACCTGCAGTTGCCATGGTAACGGCTCCCTGGTGGAAGGACGGCAGACACTCTGACTCGAGTGTGTTGGTAGAGAGAAAATTTATATCGAGATCAAAAACACTATCCTAAGTGAGCAGTTACACAGATGTCTGTAACAGACGTCAGATGTAAAAATACCAGGGTGGGGCGTGGTGGTTAAGGTGCTGGACTCCCTCGTAGCAGACTGCAGTTCAAGTCCCAGACATGGCGGCCTGAAAATAACGCCTGCCCAAAATCCCAAGAGGAGAATGGGAGAGAAGGGCTTGTGGCATAGCCCTCCCCCAGGGGTTATTTCTCACTCTCTCACCATGTCTCTTTGTCTCTCCCCGGCGAGAGCACGCACTCTATGGTCAAAGACTAAAACAAAACAAAGCTGGCACCAGGAGGGCAGCTCGGCCGGAGACCGCCGGCCTCAGCACTGCCCAAGGTGCCCGCTGGCCGCCCACGCCGGGGGTCGCGGGCCGCTCGACGTCGCCTTCAAGGCCTGCTTTCTGAGGAACGCAGTGCTGGGCTCCCGTAACTCATGTTTGGACGGGAGATGCAGCTGCCACCTGTCTCCAGCCGTTTTCCATGAGGGGGCTCGCTGCCCTGGCACCTCCGACGTGGGTGTCACATCCTCCCGGACGCTGGCCTGTCAAACCACGCCTGTGTGGTCTGCCCTGGGCTCAGTATCACTTGCTTGTTTCAGAAAATTACAGAAATATTGCACCTTCTTCTTTGCCATAGGGCACATGCCCTTGCCAGGGAGTGACAGAGAAGATGAGAGGGAGAGGGGGTGGCTACACTGCAGTCCCTTCTCCGTTCTCTCCACAGGGTGCTGGCATTCATGCCCGCGCACCCGGCATGACTTTCAAGCCGCCAGGTCTGGGACTCGAACCGTGGTCTGCGTGTGGGTCAGTGCCATCACCACTGCCCCGTGCTCTCACCTGGGCCTACCCTGCCCTCTGATCGGCTCCTTCTTGTACGTACCTGCATTTCCTTAAACATGAAGACACCCCACATCGCGGCTACAAACCCTGGGCCCTTAAACAGAAACGAGAGCTTTAAGTTGGCTATTTTCTTAGGACGGCACGCAATGTAAACATGGCAAATTGGCGACGTTATGAAAATATTCCCCGGGAAAACCACCCATAATCCAACTCTCACTCCACATTAAGACAAGCAGTAAGTGCGTTAAGTAGCGGATGAAGAATCTCCCTCTCTCCTCCCTGGTATTCGTAATAGATGGAATAGGTGCTGGTCTCAGTCCCAGTACAGCCACTCCTGGGCGCGTCAGCGTGGAAGTGCGTGTACCAGGGAGCCCTGGGCGCGTCAGCGTGGAATCGTGTGTACCAGGGAGCCCTGGGCACGTCAGCGTGGAAGTGCGTGTACCAGGGAGCCCTGGGTGTGTCGGCGTGGAAGTGTGTATACCAGGGGCCC